AAGGAGTAAAACCTATTAGTATAAGAAATATTCATATATTCCACTTGGACTTACAACGGGAAAATGTAGTCGGTGCAGAAGCACAAAATCCAACTTGAAATCAGCACGGAAAAGCAGCTCGGAAAACACGAATTGTCTGTGAAATTCACATACACACAAAACAGCAGAAAACCTGTGGAATAATTTTATTTATAGATTCTATATCACATATGCATAAAGTACTTACGATTTGAGCAATTGCTTTCCCAAAAATTGCAATAAATGCTGCAAATTCTTAATTTCCACAAATAAGCTATCAATTCGCATAAATTTTAATATTGATTGTCAACGAATAACAATAGAGACAAAGACGAAAAAGTCGATTAGTGATGCCAATCGTTGACGATCTATGGTTTTGCTTGTGTGAGTACCATTTTTAGTACTTTTTCAAGAAAATCACTGTAATATAAAAAGGAGTTGGTCAAAGCGGCAATTTGAATTTCCTAAGGGCGTTCAAAATAGCGATTAGAGCGAGAGGAAAGCGAACGTATAACACCTTCTTTATTGCATCATGATAAATGTTTGGGTTTCAACCACAACGCAAACACATGTACTAAAAAAATAAGATGTGGTCGATGTCTGGGAGAACACAAAACCCACGAGTGTGAAGTATAAGTAGCTAACCCAGTTTGTGGCAATTGTGCGGACGCCTACAGGGATCTTGGTTTTAAACTTGACACTGGCCTTAGCATATTTAGTAAAGAATGCCCTGTGTATCAAAGAAAACCAAAACTACAAAAGCAGCGTACCGGTTACTAGCAACAAAAGCCAGAAGAGACAAATCGAATGAAAACTGAAGATTTAAAACTTATTTATTTAAATGGTAATAGTTTAGTGCACAACAAACTTGAAATTGATAGGCTAGTGGAAGTATTTGATCCTGCAATTGTACTATGCTCTGAAACAAGCATCACTGATGAAATTAGCGGTTCTGAAATAAATATATCATTTACATGTATAAGATGTGATTCCAAAGCAAACACACTGGAGGTGTGGTTATGTACGTTAGTGACTCACTTCAATTCCGTGTAATATATAATAAATCTGTTAATGGAAATATATGGTCGATTATCGTACAGTTAAAAAATGTTGAAGTAAAATGGAAAATTGGAGTGGTATATCACTCGCCAAGCACGAGTGACTGAGTTTATCAGCTATACTTGAGAATACTAACGGAAATATGTGATACGATGTCTAACAACATAATCATTGGCGATTTTAATATTAATCTAAATAGAGAATCAACATACAGTGTGTGCTTAATGAGCTGTTTAATTCAATTTCTATGTACCAAATTACTGACTTTAACACGCGAAGAGCAGAACCGTCTGAGACTAAAAGTGTGTTTGCATTGTTCAACTTTGCGTTCAACATTTTCGTTCAACTCAGCGCAGGGTTGCACGAAAAAAAGTTGAATGGCTAAAAATATCAAAATATGAAAAAATATCAAAATATTCGCCATAAAAAGGTGTGTGCATTGTTCAACTTTGCATTCAACTTTTGGTTGAACGGCCTTTCAACTAATCGCTTTCAACTAAGTTGGTCGCCAGCCAACATTTAGCCACTCAACTTTTTTTCGTGCAACCCTGCGTTGAGTTGAACGCAATTGTTGAACGCAAAGTTGAATAATGCAAACACTGCTTAAGATTGATCTCCTATACTCAACTGATTAACATACGACGTGTAAAAGGCTTGATCGACATAAAACATCTGACCACGAAACAATAATAGGAGTGTTCGCTATGCAAAAAATTTGTACAAGTTGGTACGAATTGTTACCAAATCGTGTTCGTTTAGCCAAAAACCCAGTAAAACTTGCAAGGAGAGAGCACAATTTTGACATTTCATTTGGGGGGAAGTTGCAAATTCGTGCCGGAAAATTTTTGCCAGTAAGAATTTGCAAGCAAGATGAACATATGATTTGTGATAACAGGATTGCATTTTGGTCAACACAACCATAAGTTATTTAAAATTAAAAGATTACAAAGTCATTAATATGAGTGATTTAATAACAAAAGAAGTAAGAAAATTTAATTTTATTACATTTATTTGGTGGCTTCCAACGATTTAATTAATTAATAAAGGTACCCGCTAAAAGAAAATGTGTTCGTGGCAGTGCCGTGGAATCACCGTCTACACACCCCACAGTCTGCATTTGGGAATCAGTAATTGGGAACATTGAAGGTATACGATTATAATAAACTTTTTTTACAATGTTAACCGATTTTGGATTCCTTGATTTTACCAGACAGCAGTGCCGAGCAAATGAGACGCGAGGCATGCCGAAACAAGGTTGTTGCTGCCGCCATAATGTCAATAATGGATTCTTCATCCGAAAGCGACGACGACGAAGAAAATTAAATGTTGGTCGCATTTAAAAGGAAAAATAAAGCTTTTACCGAATATGCTTTGATTTTGTGCCAAAAGAATTGAAGAAGTTCTATAAAGCATTATGTTGAGCAAACAGTGCCGTCTTATACGGAAAAAGCATAGTTGCCAACTAGATTTAGTGCTTTTTGAAAATCAAAACACCAAAAAATATTATTTAGTGCCTAGTGCCTATTTTCGTGCTTTTTTTCTGAACTAGATTTTCTCCGATATAGTTAAAACCTGAAATAATTTTTAAATATTTAAAGCTGTGGCAGCACTGAATTTACAAAAATCTACAAATTTAAATGAACTTAAATACAACCATGATTGATAAAAAGCTGAACTTTCAAGTTCACCTTGTTCAATTCTATTCGCGTTGAAAATGCTAGTAGATATGCGAGTAAGTTAAGTATTTCTTTTTTCTTCTCTAATTATTTGTAAAAATTTGTATTTTTGTACCACCTGAGTAAAACACATCGTTTCTTAGCGCTGAATCCAAATCTGGCCGCACAATTGCTCTAGTACTATAATTTTGAGATATCCTAACCTCAAAGAGCCAAAATCACGGTTTTGGTGATATTTGAGGTTATATAATGAAAACATAATTTTTTTGCTCATTTCTACTTAGGGCATGATTTTCGTTTGTTGGGATTCGATTTGACTTTCTTGAGATATATCAGGTATAGTGTGCAGTACTTCGGTATTACGTCGTAAGCATGAGTCATTATAGCATGTGGCTTTTCAACCGTTATGAGCGAAAAAGTTTTGTTTATTGATTTATGTATGCATTCTTGTAAATATTGTTAAATTTTTGTTTTTGTTAAATACATACAAACTGTTTTGAAAAAAGAATCCATTGATTCAAAACCATTTGGTACTTTTAGTGTAGTAAAACGCTTTTCTTCCAAGTTTTTGGTGCTTTTTGAAAATCAAAAGTTGGCAACACTGGGAAAAAGAGTTCCGGACTCATTTTCGTATCTCAAGAAGCCTTTTTGAAAATCTAAGTGAAGAATTAATGCAAAGCGAGTATTACAGCAATCTTCGTGCTTACAAAAGACTACCCGAAAAGACATATTTGTTGGTATTTTTATGGTTTGCTGGCCATGAAGCATGCAGCTTCCGAGATTTGTCAGATCGCTTTAATATGTCGATATCAACTATATCTAAAATAATACATATTGTGACAATGTTTCTCAGCAATTTAAGTCCGGATGTTATAAAATGGCCTAATCAGCAGAAGAAACAAGAATCCAGTCAATATTTTGATAATAAGTGCATGTAATTGCTTTGGAGAAATAGGTATGCATTAGCATAAATTATTGTATCTTATTTGTGTTAATTGTGAAAGCAATTATTTTTAAGGATGCATCGATGGAACCCACATAGAAATTTTCCCACCAAAAAGGGGAAAAGATGAGTACATTGACAGAAAAGGCATCGTATCGGTTGTTCTGCAAGGGGTCTGTAATGAGCAAAAAAAGTTCATTAACATATTTTTTGGATACCCGGGTTCCAGCCACGATAGTTGGGTTTTCAAAAATTCTCCCATATATAATAAATTACCTTCGTATTGCGGAGGTAGCATTTTATTAAATTCATTGAATCCATGACAAATGTGATTTTTGATTTATTTACAGATTACTACCTAAAAGGTGATTCGGCGTACCCTTGCAGCAAATATGTAATCACTCCATATAGAGATAACGGCCATTTGACTCGTGCTCAGAAAATATTCAATGGCAAGTTGAGTTCTGGTCGTGTTGCAATCGAACACACGTTTGGGATTTTAAAAGAAAGATTCAGGCAGTTGTATTATTGCAAGTTGAGAGGCATGAAAAAACTCTGTCATTTTGTGCGTGCTTGTTGTATTTTACATAAATTAGCAAATGAAGACGATTTGAATTTTAGCGAAGAGCCATTTGCCGAAGATTTATATGAAAATTCAAGTCGTGGTGAAACATCGAGAAGAAATTGCGACCGTGATCTAATTTGCCAAAATATTCAAAATCGCTTAAATCAAAACATTTAATGAATAAACTGTTCTTTTATGCGTATAAAGAATTCACTTTTTTATTCATTGATACATAATTCCATGATAAAAATATAGTAAGGTAGAACCGCTGAGAGGAATTTTTCAAATTCTTGACGTTTCCAAACAATTTAATTTTTAAATTTACTCACAAACTCACACACACATTTTCATTTTCAATCTCAAGCAACCACAATTTCGAACAATTTCATTTTTTTCTTTTCACTTTTATATGATTTTAAAATGTTGGCAAACTTCAAAAAAAAAATCATGGCGGACAAATTGAGAGAACGGTTCTACCTTGCTATATTTTTATCATGCATAATTCCATTTCATTTCAATTTCAATCACAATACATATGTATCAAGATTCATAAAACAAAGATTGCGCCGATGGCGAGCAAACAAATTTTACGATCTGCGCATCTACGTCACAATACCAATACGATATTC